TTCACCCAAAGGACTCCACCTTTCACCAGGGTCTCGTTTTGGGGGAGCCACAAGAGGACCCCTTTCCTTGTGCTAACAGAGCCACAGCTGGGTGGTCCTCAACCCCTGCCCGCCTGGGCTCCGTGTCAGAGCTAGCAAACCCAGCCACTACCTTGAGGGGCTGATCTCGCCGCATGACCGCAAGCTCAATGTTTTTGCCACCTGACTGAACCACCTAGAAGGGAAGAGAATAGCATCAGACACCACTCCCACCTTGAGACCCAACGCCGGCAAGGGCCTCATGATACTGTGTGCACCCAAACCCAGTACTGCCACTTGGGGAGAGGGCAGGACACAGTGAAGTCCCAGCACCTGCAGCTGTGTCCTAACAGCCTGGCAACCCATGAAGTCGTGCACACATGGGCTCCCTCCTGTGTTCTGGCACTTGGGCCTGAGCTGGGCAGCTGGCCATGTGTTCCTCCCCAACGGCTCTGCCCTGACAGCTGGCCTCCAGGATGGCCTTCAATACCAGTGCCTCCACAGTCCTGACAAAGCCCGAGACCTCACGCCACGCATCCATTATTGCCACTTCCTTTAATTCCCCAACTTTATCAGTAGCTGAAGCCTCAGAAAAGTGATGGCTCTGAGTGGAATAGATCCCATGCCTGGCCATGCCTGGCCTGCCTCTGCTGCTTGACTGGGTGCTCTCGGGCAAGCAACGTGGGACTCTGCACCCCAGTGGGGCTCCCCGTGGGAAGGAGGGGAGGTGTGGCTGCATAGCACCAGCCCCACGGCCTTCTGCCAGTACAGCAGTCGCTGGCTGCGCTGCCCTGCCCACCCAGCCCGAGCCCTACACCACACCACCATCCCCAGTTTTCAGATGCAGACTTACTTCCAGAAGGGCCTTGATAACCAGTTTAATGGTCAGGTCATCCGTCTCGATGGCTTCATCAGTATAGTTCTTCTCTAGAAATTCGCGCACTGACTTGGCACCCCGCCCTATGGCATTGGCCTAAAACAGACGTGTGTTTACAGGACAGGGTGTAACAACCCAGAGCCTTCCCGAGGACATAGCCCTCCTGTGTGGGCCAGCCATTACCTGCTCCCCCTCCCTGTGCTGTGGTACGAGGTAGCCTGGCACTGAGGCCTTGCCTTATGGCTTCCTTTTGCAAAGGGAATTTGGAGTCGATGATTCTTAACACGAATGGGATTCTACTTCTGTTTCATTGAAAAACATGGGCGATTTCACTTTTTGCTGTGTGGTCTTTTTCTAAATGGCAACGTAAACATCTGTGCTCCCGCACCAGAAGCGTCCTGGAACACGCTTAAGGTTCCACAGGACTAGCCGTGACTCACCTTCCAGGCATGGTAGGTGCCTGAGGGGTCAGTCTGATAGAGCCTGGGGGTGCCATCAAAGTCAAAACCCACAATAAGGGCGGAGATGCCGAAAGGTCTGCGCCCGTTGCTCTGCGTGTAGCGCTGCGGAGAAAAGGAACATGGATGCTGTCAGCAAGCGCAGCTCCCGAGCCCACCCCGAGCGAAATGTACAACAGTCCAAACCACTGCGCGTTCAGCGATGGGATGAAAATCTGTCACTCAGCCCACTTTGAGGTTATTTGCAATTCAAACAATAAATAACCCCAGACAACAGTTTTCAGCACCCCCTTCCCTTTTTGCTTTCTCAGACATGCACTCTGGCCACACAGCTGGTTTCTAAGATTCCACCATGGAATGGCGGTGGTTTTCAGCTCCCCCCCATGTGCTTGGTGAGCAGTATTCAGAACAGCAGGACAACAAAAAGGGGTCACTTCCCTCCAGAAATTGGAAATGAGACTGCCCCAGGCCACTATGAGAACAATGCCACAGAAACAGATAAAACTATAGTGAGTCACACGTGTACGAAGTAAAGACCAGGGCCACACATGCAGTAAGCGTGGTTGATTTTCTTGAAGTGACACGCAAACACCTACGTGAAGTCCCGCAGCAGGGCACCTTCCACAACGGAGCAGGACCACTCCACAATCAGAGCTGAGCCACAGGCAGGTGGATACCCACCTGCTTCAGACTGGCAATGTAGCGAGTGATGTACTCCACAGTGACAGGGTCCTCCACGGTCAGCCGGTGGCTCTGGCACTCTACCCGGGCCCTGTTGATGACTATTCTAGCGTCGGCAGTGAGGCCTGCAATAGAGTGAAGCGGAAGTTCCACCTGAGCCACACCTTGCCCGCTCCGACTGAGGACAGCACACATCACATAGGCAGGGAGCAGTTGGCCTTTGGCGGACTCCAAAACCTGTCCGCCTACACCAGCCCCCAGATCGTTCTGAGCTCCCAAGAAGGCTGGCGCGCTACAAATGCATCCCAGACCACGCCAAGCGCACTAATCTCATGAGGCGGCCCATCAACCCCAAGTTTAGCTCAGGCGAACTGGACCTTCTTGAACCGGACCCCAAGGGAGTGCTGCAGCCATCAGAGTGCAGAAGTACACAGCACTCCCGACAGCAGGGCAGCCCACCGGCACAGTGCGCTGTGGTAAGCCCGGCCTCTGGCCTGTACAACAGTGGAGCCCCTAGTCCCGGGCTGTCCACTCACTCAGCCTCTGTGCTTCACCACCGAGCAGAGAGCCCCCCGCCAAGAATCAGTGACCCATCCTTTTCTTAAAAGCCCAAAGCTATGGCTTTTAAAGGACTAGTTGACCTAGTTCGTCTCCCCGCAGCCCACTGGGTTAACCTCGAAGGTGGTGGTCTCTGTGGAGTCCCCGCAGACTGACCTGCGAATGCCATGCAGACATTGTCGTCCAGCGCACAGATCTTCCGCACCGTTCTTTCATCCTGCAGTTTGGCCACCGACTTCTTCTCCACACCAAGAACGACGATGTCTTTTCCTCGAACACCAACCTTCATTAACAGTATTCAGAGAGGTTCTGTCCCCAGGTAGAGCACTAGGAGCGGCTGTTAACACCTTGCAAACACCCTGGGGTAGCAGCCCAGGCACACCTCTCCCCTCCACTGCTGTGGGCACCCCCCCCCCCCACAAACCACAGGTCTGGCTGCTGGCAGAGCTGGTCCAGGTGTCATGTCCTGGGTGCCCACTGCAATGCTTTAAAAGTAGTGACATACAGTTTCAATTACAACCCAACTAAGTAGCAACTAGTGTAGCAGGTGTGCATGTGCCCTCACTTCAACCCAGTGATTCTAAGGGTCACATCCAAGGCCTTTAACATCCAAGCTCCCTGTTATGATAGCAGCATTTGTGCAGTTGTGAACCTGCCCTAGAACCCACCTGTTCTGTCCTGCACCCAGGAACAGCAGTGTGGGGAGGACAGCTTTTCAACTACCACCAGGCCAACTGCTCCGTTAGAGTGGAGAGGGGAGAGTTAAAACCATGGGAGACCACCTGTAGGCAGGTACCCACCTCCTGCTCCAATCAATGCAGGAGCAGAGAAACAGCTCAACCACAACTCGAAAAACTTATTCTCAGCACGGTGGGCATTTGAGCTGCTAACTCTTCGACTGCAGGCTGTCCCATGCACTGTAGGGTGTTTACAGCTTCCCTGGCCTGTCTACCCCTAGATGCCAGCAGCACTCTCTATGGTCTCCAACAAGGAAAGATGCCCCACACGTTGCCAAATGCCCCCCTGGTTGAAAGCACTGGTCTGCGGTGTTTCAGATTTCAAGGACCTTTTTCAGGTACTGCCTTACTTGAGTTCAAAGCCCTCCCTGAGGGAAAGAAGGCCAGGCCAGAGACACCAGGTGGATTAAGCAAAGTGGCTGGCCTGGGGCGGTACGGGTGTGTGTGACAGCCAAGTCCTCTTCCAGTGCTGTACTCAGGTAGGTCATAAGATGGACTTTAGACCTTAATTTCAGAAGAAAATTCAGGAAATGAAAACTTAAGAATTCACAGAATCTGCGTGTGGTCTGCCCATTCAAACCTCCGAAATACCAAATGATCAAACCGTCAGTTTTTGATAAGCTAATAGGTGCCCCAAAGAGGTCACGAGCTTAAATTTCAAACGGTGGTCAAAGGGGGAGAGAGGTGCTCAGACACCAGCAGGAGCACGGGCAGCAGGCGCGGCCTGCGCCCGGGAGCTGCAAGGCTGGCGCGCCGGGCACGCTGCCCTTTGTTCCCCAAGCCCACCTGGGCCACGAGGTCCCCTAACCGGGCCGGGCGCAGTGACCCCGCGGCACCTCCTCCGAGCACATTCACCCAGCCAGTCCCCAGCCAGCCCCGCGTCCCGGCGCCCGCGCGGGTGGCCCGCCAACATGGCCGCCGCTTGGAGCAGCGGGCGCCCCGCGGGCGCCGGGCCTCGGGGGCTCCCCGCGCACGCTCCGCCTCGGGGCACCTGCCGGAAACCCCGGGCACACCCAGCGCCGCTGCCTGGAGCGAAAACCCAGCTGCGGGGGAGCAAAACTACCAGCCCTCCGCCCCGCCCTCCCGCCGCGACTTCCGCGTTCGGCTAACGCGCCAGAGGCGCCCCTCGGCCGGGGCTGGGCGCGCGGCTGCTCGGGCGGAGCCAGGGGGCCTCGCGTCAGGGCCCGCTCCGCTGTGGCCGCCGCCGCCGCCGCCGCCCGGCGGCCCGCTGCCCGCCCCCCGCCCTCCGGGCCGGGCCCGCGGCCGCCGCTCACCGCGGTGGAGCCCTTCTTCACGGCCTCCTGCGCGTACTCCACCTGGAAGAGGTGGCCGTCGGGCGAGAAGACGGTGATGGCGCGGTCGTAGCTCATGCCGGCGGCGCGGCGCGGCCGGTCCGGGAAAAGCGCACACTCACTGCAGGGGCGGCTCGCGCCTCACGCCGCCGCTGCGCCAGCGCCAAGCCCGCCCACCCCCGGCTCCGCCGACCGCGCTGCCGGCGTAAGGCGGCGTCGGCAGCGTCGGGCAGCGCCGGGAGGACGTGCGCGCGGGGGGGCGGGGCTGGGCCGAACCACCGGCGACCGGGCGCGAGGGGGGCGCGGCGGCGCGGGGCCGGGCGCGAGGCGCGGGGCTGCCACCCAGGGGGGGCGCGCGGGGCTCGCCTTCGCGGCCTGGCGGCGCGCGGGGCGGAAGCGCGGCGGGCGCAGGGGTGGCGTGGCGGCGGCACCGGAGCGGGCGAGCCCATGGCGCGGTGCCCCCCGAGCCGCCGCCCCCCAGCGACTGCGGAGAATGAGCGCCTCGGGCCGCCGCGCGCCGCGGGAGCGGGAGCCCCGATGATCTCGGGCTGAGCCCGCGCCGCGACCATGTCGGTGGCCTTCGCGTCCGCCCGGCCGCGCGGCAAAGGGGAGGTCACGCAGCAGACCATCCAGAAGGTGGGCCGGCGGGCGCGCGGGGCCGGGGCGGGCGCCCGGGCGCGGGGTGCGAACAAAGCGGGCGCATGACGGCCGCCACCCGCCGGGCCCCGCGCGCGCTTGGCGGCGGGGGCAGGGGCAGCGGCTGCCCGGGGCGGCGCGGCGAGGAGGCCCGGGGAGCGAGCCCCGGCCCCGGCCCCGGCCGCCACGCCCGCCGCGCAGGCCCGCGCACGGCCCAGGGGGCGCGTCCCGCCTCGCGGGTCCCGGCGGCCCGGAGCCCTGAGCGGACGCGCGGCTCCTCGGGGCAGGCCTGCCGGCCACGCTCCGCTGCCCCTAGCGTCCGGGCGTCTTTGCGGTGACAGCGGCCGGCTCCTCACCCGACAAACTTCACGGAGCCGCCTGGCGGCCTTTCCTCAGCGCCCTGCAGGTTTGGCCACATGGTTTCCTCGCGGTAACGTTTGTACGGGTTGGAGCACCTTCGACAAAAGCTCGAGTTTCGGGATCGAGATGGTAGGCTTTCCGCTGTTTCTCTTTAGAAGCTCAGAAGAGAATCGGTTTTAACCACTCCTGCTTGAATTTTCTGGATGTCTGGTAGCTGCGTGGTTCCCCTTCTGACCTTAGGCTCCTGGGCTCGGCAGCCGAGTTGCGCGGTGCCCACGAGCCTCATTTTCCCCGCGGGGTTTTCCATGTTGATGCACCAGGACCCTGTGGACCTTGTCCTCAGCTTCGTGCCTCTTTCCAGACTGCCGTCATCTCTGGTTATGAACGGTGAGGAGCCCCCAGCAAACGCTTACCAGGGAAGAGGCAATCTGAGAAAAGAATTAAATACAGACTTAGTATTGCGGCCTATTTACGTGGTGTTTACTGCATGCCGAGTACTGTTCTAAGGACTTTGCAGATCTTAACTCATTTGATTCTCGGGTAGTTATCGATATGGAAACAGGCATGTGGAGGCCAAGTGCTTTGCGGGAGTGGTGGAGGCATGGCGCGGGGCTGCCACCCAGGGGGGGCGCGCGGGGCTCGCCTTCGCGGCCTGGCGGCGCGCGGGGCGGAAGCGCGGCGGGCGCAGGGGTGGCGTGGCGGCGGCACCGGAGCGGGCGAGCCCATGGCGCGGTGCCCCCCGAGCCGCCGCCCCCCAGCGACTGCGGAGAATGAGCGCCTCGGGCCGCCGCGCGCCGCGGGAGCGGGAGCCCCGATGATCTCGGGCTGAGCCCGCGCCGCGACCATGTCGGTGGCCTTCGCGTCCGCCCGGCCGCGCGGCAAAGGGGAGGTCACGCAGCAGACCATCCAGAAGGTGGGCCGGCGGGCGCGCGGGGCCGGGGCGGGCGCCCGGGCGCGGGGTGCGAACAAAGCGGGCGCATGACGGCCGCCACCCGCCGGGCCCCGCGCGCGCTTGGCGGCGGGGGCAGGGGCAGCGGCTGCCCGGGGCGGCGCGGCGAGGAGGCCCGGGGAGCGAGCCCCGGCCCCGGCCCCGGCCGCCACGCCCGCCGCGCAGGCCCGCGCACGGCCCAGGGGGCGCGTCCCGCCTCGCGGGTCCCGGCGGCCCGGAGCCCTGAGCGGACGCGCGGCTCCTCGGGGCAGGCCTGCCGGCCACGCTCCGCTGCCCCTAGCGTCCGGGCGTCTTTGCGGTGACAGCGGCCGGCTCCTCACCCGACAAACTTCACGGAGCCGCCTGGCGGCCTTTCCTCAGCGCCCTGCAGGTTTGGCCACATGGTTTCCTCGCGGTAACGTTTGTACGGGTTGGAGCACCTTCGACAAAAGCTCGAGTTTCGGGATCGAGATGGTAGGCTTTCCGCTGTTTCTCTTTAGAAGCTCAGAAGAGAATCGGTTTTAACCACTCCTGCTTGAATTTTCTGGATGTCTGGTAGCTGCGTGGTTCCCCTTCTGACCTTAGGCTCCTGGGCTCGGCAGCCGAGTTGCGCGGTGCCCACGAGCCTCATTTTCCCCGCGGGGTTTTCCATGTTGATGCACCAGGACCCTGTGGACCTTGTCCTCAGCTTCGTGCCTCTTTCCAGACTGCCGTCATCTCTGGTTATGAACGGTGAGGAGCCCCCAGCAAACGCTTACCAGGGAAGAGGCAATCTGAGAAAAGAATTAAATACAGACTTAGTATTGTGGCCTATTTATGTGGTGTTTACTGCATGCCGAGTACTGTTCTAAGGACTTTGCAGATCTTAACTCATTTGATTCTCGGGTAGTTATCGATATGGAAACAGGCATGTGGAGGCCAAGTGCTTTGCGGGAGTGGTGGAGGCAGGAGTGGAAGCCAGGGGTCTGCGGTGACCGTGACACTTGATCCAGGAACACTTGTCTAGGCAGAGGGTCAGATGTTTGCCTCAGAGGCACACGTCGGCAATCCAAAGGGTCTCCTGACATTTTTGAAGCTTAAGTGTGACGAGCACACTTACTGGTTTGAGAGGCACCTTTGACCTCGACCTTCATCCGGGCATTTGCACTCTGCACCTACTCCCTGCTAAAGCTCCCCAATTCTCCAGGCAATGGCATGTGTTAGAGCCACACTCCCAAACATCAGATCAGAAAGGGACACGTGCCAGCTGCATGCCAGGGCAGAAAATCAACCTGCTGACCATTGAAAGAGGGTCTTCGGTGGAGGCGGTCCTCCGTCTGACCTGCTGGGGCCAGCAGTCTGTGTACTCACCTTCCTGTTTTGACAGTGAACATACGTTTGGGGCTATTTCATTGGCAGCCTGAGAAGGGCGTGAGGTGCATGTCACTCACATTCACAGCGTTGAGAAAAGGTGCCTCAGAAGCAAGAGAGCAGGGGTACACACGTGCCCTCAGAGTATTGAGCAGGGGTCTGCCCTGCAGAGTCCTACTCAGCCTTCAAGGCCCCACTCAGATGTCCCCATGCTGCGCTCCCTTGGCGGTCATATGATAAGCATAGCACTTGGACACATTACTTGGGTCCCAGTCAGTGTGTCGTTGACCTGTTCTTTGCTGTGGCCCAGTGCCTGGCACAGTCAGCGCCCGTGCACACTGGAGCACGTGTGGCACCAGTTCTGTCCATGGAAGTGTCTAGGGTAGGTAGATGTGTTCCTTTCCTGGGGCTGCCGTAAGAGATTACCGCAAACTTGGTGGCTGAAAGCAGCAGCGATTTTATTTTCTCACAGTTCTGGAGGCCAAAAGACAAAGTGTTGGCGGGGTTGTTACTTCCTGGGGGTCCGGGGGAGGGTCTGTTCCAGGTTTTTCTCCGAGCTTTGCTGTTGCTGACTTGCAGACACGTCACACCTCTGGTGTAGCTTCTCTGCATATGTGTCTGTGTCCACATCTCCCTCCTCAGTAGGGCACAGTCACTAGATTGGGCCCCATATTAAAGTGTGACCTCATCTTAACTTGATTGCATCTACAGTGACCCTGTTTCCAAATCAGGGCACATTCACAGGCACCGGGGATTAGGACTCTTAACGGGTCATTTTGAGGGATATGTTTTAACCTGTTAGCAGGACATGAAGGTGTGGGGGGGTATTCCAGACAAGGAGAACCAAGGAGCAGATGTAGGAAGGGTCAGGGAGTCAGTCACAGGGGGTCCATGCATGGCCTGCATAAAGGGGTGCGGAAGACTGAAGCAGTCCCAGGGGGGCCCGCCCATGGTCTGTGTGGAGGCACGGCGGCCATTGCTGGGGGGGCTGGTGGGGGGCAGGGAGAGCCAGCTGGCTCTGGGGAGCCCGGCCGCTGCTGAGGAGCCTTGGCTTGTGGGACCCAAAGCCCCTCAGAGCCGGGGAGACA